CGGGATGGGGGGAAGCTCCTCCTCCCTCTCCATTGTTAAAAGGAGAGAGAAAAAAAAATCTGAACTGAGCCTTTAAAAATGTGCAAGCAGTTTCTTGGCTGTAAGACCAAAGAAACCTGGGCTGATATGCTGCGCCCGTAACCCTATGTTGGGGATCTGAAATGTTACTACAAAAACCCGGAGGAGGAGAGAGGGTTCATTCCTACCTCATGGAGAGTCATGAGGAGAAGAGAAGAAAAAGGGAAACTGGAAAAAAGGTGGGCTCTAAGCCCCTCCCACACAAAGCAGCAAAGCTAGGCCGCAGTGAAGCCACCCCTTGTGTTGTGCTTGTGTGAGACAGGCCTGGTTGAAACCCCATATTTTCCAACATTTCCCCCCTCCAAATAGGCATTCTTTATTTTCTTTTTAAATTGTAAAATGTTAAACTTATGTTTTTTTCTGATGAAACTTCCATTGGATTACAATTTCACACATATTTTAGAGTATTTTGGCTTTTCCATTACACCACTATTCTTACCATTGTTTCATATCAGAGTTCAGTAAAATCATTTATTTTTTACTTGATCATATTCAAGTCTTTCCTCTTGGAAACATTGGATTACATGATGGTTAATATATGTTAGTCCATTCAGTTCTCACAACAAACTTGTGAGACCAACTAGATTGTGATTCTTTTCCATTCTTAATCTTTTGATCAACTGGTTATGAGGAAAGAGGTTATCTCCTTTTGTTCTCTGATTTATGAAAAATATAATGAGTTTTAATCTTCAATTCTAGAGACCATACAAGTCAAAGAAGAACCTCAAGGAGGTAAAATAAAATGAATTGACTTCAGAGGGTAAATTCTGCCCTGGAAAGCTTTAGCTTCCTGATCAATGTAGTTGCCAAAGATTCTAACATGCAGGAGAAGGTAAAAATAAAGGGGATGTCTAGGCTGGGTGGGGAATGTTTTGGGAGGAATGGTATATCTACTGAATTCACAGTCTTCTGCCACACTTCCAACCTGAGGGAAAAAATTAAACCGGCCACTGAAATGTTCTAAATCCTTTCCATTCTCATTGCTTGCAGTGGCAGTAAAAATACTGCAAGGAAGGGGCAGAGAGACATCAACACCTCTATTCTTACTTCCACCTTGCCAGTTTAAAGAAGGTGAAAGCAATCCAAGTAATAGGTTAACATTACCCTGCCCATTGGTTTACAATACTTTATTTTGTCTAAATTATTTTGGGGAAAAAAAGATTGCAGGTAGTCCTCGGTTAACGATGGTAATTGGGACTGGAATTTCCACTGCTAACCGATGCGGCTGTAAAGTGCACCACGACCACATTGGCTAGCAACGGCAATCCTGGTACTCCCTATTGCCCTTGTTAACCAAATCCCACCAGTCATTAGGCAAGGACCCACCCTGATCCAAGCCATTCCCGGCTTGGTCCCTTCCTGCCCTGAGCCTCTGTAAAGTAAGGGACTGTCTCCTCTTCAACTCCCCCATCAGCCTATCTCCCCCTCCCATCTCTGCCCTTTTGGCCACCCTGCACTCCACCCCTGCTGCCCTGCACTCCACCACCCCTACTGCCCTGAGCTCCGCTGGTCCTGTCACCCCCAACTGGCCTTCACTGTCTTCTTCCTCCCACTGCTGATGAGGAACACCCTGCCTGGCACTGCTGCCCTTGTCCAAATCGCATGCAGCCTTCTTGTGAGGCTTTGGAAGGCTTCACAGCCTCCAAGAAGGCTGCACATGGCCTTAGGAAGAAGGCCTGGTGCAGACAGCAGCTGCCTTGCAAAGGGCCAGGCCAGGCCCACTTTGTCAGCAGGGGGAGGAAGACGACAAAATTGAAATTGAGTTTCAGTACAATAACCATTGTAATGAGTTTATTGGTATCAATCTAAAGGTATAACTGGAATGGAGTTATCCAAGATGGAAAGTAATATACCAGTAAATTTTTGTGGAGATATAGCATACATCAAATACCAACATCCTGGTGGTGATTCTCCAGAAGTAACAAGTTCAGTGAAATCAATTGTAAGAGAAGATATTTTGCCACATAGTAACGGGAAAAAAATTGTTCAAGAGTCTTCATCAAAATTTGAAAGGGTTCCATCACAAGTAAGAAGGACAAGGTCTTCTCCATCACATGGTAGACATCCAAGACGTGGACCATCCCACAGAAGACGCCAACGCATGGCAAATGTTATTGAAGATGAAGGTCCATTTGCAGACAGAACCATCCGCAGAAGTAAGTGGCAACAATCTCTGCCAAGTATGAGAACATATAAGAAAGAATTGATATAAAGTTGGTAATCGTTCTCATTGCAAGTTGGACATGGAATATGTGTTATTTCAGGTTGAAGATAAAATGCTTTTTACCTCTTCCCTTTAGATTCAACTTCCCATTCAATGTAATAGAGCAGATTTTGGTAAACTTTACCCAACATTTGTAGTATTCATTGTAAGGATTCTAACCTACAATAACAATAGATGATTCAGAGATAATGAGTATACTTTGGATTGGATGCATTTGGATCTAAACAGTCATACTTAAATCCATGAAATAGCAGGGATATGCAAAACATTTTTGAATTTGAACCATTTTGAATTTGAAATAACCCAGTTTCAAATCTAAAGCAGCTGTTCTGTATTTGAACTATTCAAAATTTGTATCAAACTTCAAAAGAGGCATTTTGAATTTGAAACAGTTGAAGCAGGTTTGCACATTCCTAGTACTTAGCCTAATTAATTGATTTTGCTTAAAATCCAGGTGAAATCTAGTTTAAATTTACAACTACTCTTCATTTCTCATTTCTGCTTACTTGCTTACCTAGTGATGGCAAGTGAACAGCCAGTATCAACAAGAAGAGGAAGGGCAAGAAGTTCAAGAATTAGAAAACTAGAGGCCCATTCCTTTCCCACACACACACACATGTAGATGCTTTTGTATCTTTGTCAGTGCTGATTCCTTGACATTTATGCTGTGTAAATTTTGAATTCACTGTTCCCACTGCACCCCTTTTCTCACTTGTTCTGCAGTAACAGAAAGTGAATTTGCTAATATCTGGCCAACCTATAACCCATTCTTTGTTACATGCTCTGTGTGTGGCAAAGGCAAGCAATCAAGGAAGAGCAGAAAGTGGCTTCTTTACCTGTGTACAATCTCTGACATCCATCCCTGGAATCTCACTAGAGTGAAATGAGTTTTTAATAGTGTCTCCTTCCCTTCCACTGCCAGCTGCAGCATTAGCTTGGCAGCAGTCAAAGAATATTCCTTAATATCCTACTGACTTTGTTTTTTAATTTATGAAACATTTTCAAGAAAGAATATAAGCCAAAAAAGTTACAGGACATTTTATTTTGAATTCAGCAAAAGCTGTTGGCTATTCTCAGCACCAGTTAATTTCTCTATGCAGAAAAAACAAATAAAAAAAAATCAAAAGATTTTTAACAATTTTCCTGTATTGTCAATGGCAATTATGGGTTTGACAACATATTCCTCTCAGACTTCTCAGTGGGTCACTCTTGTTTGTGAAGAGCTGATAACCATAGAAGGAAAACAATGGAAAACAATGGCAGAAACTCTGCTGCTCTTCATCTAAGAAAGTTGTTAAACACACAATTGTTCAATGTCTGAAAAAGCAACTGAGGTATATTATATTTGAGAGGAATACCCTAGGGAACAGAAAGTATTCCTTTTTCTACTGCCTAGCCTTACGTATTTGATGAACTGAATAAGTCATGGATCTATTACAATGATGCCATTTTTGCCTTCTGGATATCTTTTAAATTCCATACAAAACTTGATTGGCCGATTTGTTTTAAATATATCACCTGAAACAATTTTTCTGCCTCCTTAGCTTTCCTTTGGAAACTGTATCTCATGTTGGCATTTCAACTGGCTTACACTGTTGGTATAATATGTATGTTCCTCTACTGGTAAGTGTAATTTATTGCAGCTGTTGCCATCTTGGTGCCCTCAGGATATATTGGCACAACTTTAGGGGGTACCTAAATTCAGCAGCAACTGGTTCCAACAACAATGCATTGTAATGTACAGCTCCTAAATATTGCACATCATTGAAAAACCAAACTGCTTGCATCCAAACATCTCTGCCACTTGATGTGTGCATCAAGTGGGGACTAACCTTCAGGAGAGTCTGAGAGGGGATTTATTCAGACACTACCCTGCTGGGACTAGAAATTATTTACACACATCATGTGTCAACCTTCTGAAAGCCAAACCTCCGGAAGAACTATGTTTCCTTCCTTCGGTTTCTTTCCCTCCTTGAAGAAGCACACTCAAGGAGGAGTCTTGTTATTCCTCCTGTTTTTATAATTATTGTAACAAATGTATAATAATTACAATTATGTATAATATTATAATAATTGTAAAAAAAATTCTGTAAATTAGGCTCCTATCGGTTAACATTCATCATGTTTTCTTCTGTTTTATTGGGTTTTGAACTTCATTGTTATTTTTTATTTTATTTATTTATTTATATTTCAAATTTGTCACTCCCCATCTCACTGGAGAGTGACTCTGGGTGGTTTACAGTAAAAAAGAAAAAAATATTAATTAAAATAGAATAAATATTAATTAAAATACACTACAACAACAAAATTCCTATATAATACTTCCAAGAAACTGATGTTAACTAGGAGTTATTAGACTCTGGGAGCATCTTCAAGGTACCAGCCACCCCCCAATTTTTAATATTGTTATGATCCATACTGAATATAGGGAGGTGCAATGGAAATGTTTTAAAATAAATTGAATAAATTACTAATTCCTTCTGTTAAGTATCCTTTCTGTAACTATTTTTGGGTTTTTTGTCCAGGAAATATCTTAAAATATGGGTTCGGAGACGTCCATGGTTTTGCTATGCCCTCTTGTAAGTATACATGCAAGTGCCAATTAGTAAAATCTCTTCCTTAGTAAATATGCATTATTTCTCAGAAAAACCATAATAAAACCAACATCCATGAACAAGCAGAACAAAATTGTTTGTAGTACCAGCAGTCTCTAGATTGAGAAACAGTACTTAACAATATTTAAAAAATAATATTAATAATGTTAAGAATATACATTATATGTTTGATATAAGATGATCAGCCATCTAAAAATTCATAAAAGAATGCAATTTTAACAAAAATCAATATTACTTATCCCTTTTGCATATGTTTTTGATGTAATTAGTTATCTTGGCTATAAATGCTAATTTATTGCCATCAAGTATCCCTAAACCAATCTAATTAGGACACTTTAAAATTCTATCTGGTAAAACCAAATATTAATAGAATTGACAAGATGACATCTCTAGATTTGCTTTATTTGCATTCTAATTTCTGTTCCACTATCTAGCTAATTTACATTGCCATTCAATATGAAGATAACAATTAAGAGGGGGTGATATACTCAGTAAATTGGATTGCAAGGTAAAGTCATCTTGGAGTCAAGCTCAACTTCAGGTGATTGCACCCATGCTATTTTTTTGGTGGCAATATGGAAGTGGTTTGCCATTTCCTTTTTCCAGATTGTTTTTACTTCCCAGTCTAGCCTACAGCTCTGATATTTACAAGGGGCCATCCATCCAAGTTCTAAGTAGAGTCAGTCCTGCTTAGCTTCCAAGATTAGCCAAGGTCAACTAGGTGTTGTTTCCTGCAGAAGTAAGAATATTTTATTTCATTTGGTTACAGAGATACATATTCTCATAATAATCTTGAAAGAATTCTGATATCTGTAACTAGACAGATAGTCTCTGTCTTATTCAGATTTTAAAAAATGGATGCTAATCTGCTAACCGAAGGGGGCAAGGGGTGATTCCTACTCATCTGTCAAGCTTCCATGTCCCCCAAATCTACTCTGGAAAACTGGAGACTCTGTGCAAGTCATTGGGGATATATGTGTGAGTTTGAAAATTGCCCTTTCCAGTTTCCACTGAGAGAAGCAGTTCTATCAATAGGAAACCTGCATCAATTTTAATCCAATGTGGTTAGAATGGAGTTTGAAACGGATGTTTGCTCTTTGAGGAATTGTGTGTTTACTGGGATATCTGAAGCTTCATCACTGCATTTCTTTTACAGAGCCCTAAAGATTTATTTAGTTTCTGTTGTTTTCTTCTAAAAGGATTTTACTGGATTCTTAAATATAAGATGTGGTTTTATCTATAATTATTTATTGAATGAATATTTTTATTATAGTATCAATTGTAAAATAACAGGACATTTTAAACTAAGATGGTAGTATGTTTATCTCATTTTAGACCAGCAGTCTTGCTAATGGTTATTGCCTTAGCTTGCTGTGATCAAGCCCGAAGAAAATTTCCTTTGAATATAATTTTATTAGCAATATTTGTAAGTATCTCTTGAAGGTAATGCTCTATATAACATATTAATGTAACTGGTCAGTTTATTATATATGTTATTGTTTACCTGTTGCTACATCTAGGTTCCACAATACTTTACATTTTGAATAATGCTCTGCTTGGCTTGTACAGTAAAGATGAAGATAGATAGTCTACTTTGATATTTTCCAGTCTGGTTCCCAAATATATTGGACTACAACTTTGGTCAACCTTGCCCCAGCTCCCAGCCAGCATCAGGATGGGGAAAGGGAGCATCAGGATGGGGAAAGCTAATCTAATTCATATGATGTTCAGAACAATGGAAGTCTGTACTTCCTACCTTACAGCTACTTGTAACATTATTTCCACCCCCAAGGCAAGCTTTGAGAAAATGCAGTTTCATCCCTATATTACATATAATAACATTTATGAATATGCAGCGTGTTGGCATAAACAGCATGAGACCATTCATCTGAATCAGCTAAAAAATTAATTCCCTGTTCTCTTTGTCATTGTTGGTTCTTACTCTACCATGTTATAAATTATATAGCTCATCATGCCCTTAGTAATTATGTTAAATACTTAATTATCTACCACAGAGTCAGACCTTCATTACTGATGGGTCTCAAGTCACTTGAATTTATTGGCACTTGAATTTATTGGTCCACCATTCCAGCAACTCATACTGGAAGACTATGTAGAATATCTAGAATATTTATAAGGTAGTTCAGATAAAGCTCTGAATTAAACCTGGACAGAATTAGCTCAGAATTAGCTTAACTGGATAGATAGCAGTTTAGCCTGGATTTTACTCATTATTAGATAGGTGCACAAAGGTAACTGCATTTTATAAATGATTGCATAAAGGAATGTACCACCAAAACCTGAAACACGGGTTAGCTATTTTTGACTGTTATCATTTGCACTGTTTCAAGTGAAGATTACAGTATTTCTCTTTTCAGTTGCCCTTTACTTTAATTTTACACAATATTTCTATACACAGTGTTCTCACAAATACTGTTAAGTATATAAGTTTTGCTAGCTGGGAAGTTATATGGAAGAATTCTATATGGTACAGTGAGTTATACAGATAGTCCTCGCCTAACAACCACAATAGGGACTGGAAAATTGGTTGTTAAGTGGGGTGGTCATTAAGCAAAGCATCACATGACTGCACCCAATTTTATGACTTTTTTGCAGTGGTCGTTAAGTGAATCACTTAGTCGTTAAGTGAATCACGCAGTTCCCCATTAATTTTGCTTGCTGGAAGCTGGCTGGGAAGGTCGCAATGGTGATCATGTAACCATGGGAAGCTGCAACC